ACTGCTACTACTACTACTACTACAGTTACCATTACCTTGTCGCATCGTCTTCAGCAAGTTGGATCATGCAGCGTCAGGATGTGTAAGCTCTAGCCCATGGTGTTGTGCGCCACCTGTTTCGGATTGTTTGCAACTTCGGGTGTTCGGACTTCGGACTTTGCACTTCGGATTTCACTTTCAGACTTCGGACTTCAGGTTTGGACATTGAGACTTCGTGGAGCGAAACCGTGGGTGGGGGGGGGCCGGGATGTTGATGCCCGCCGGGCGTTGTGGCTCCAGCTTCACAACCCGAAGAGACGCTGGCAAGACTGCCTTGCAGCTCCCACAGCGGTATTGCTGCGAGCTGACAGTGTCTTATGGAAACGAGTAGGAACAATAAGCAATGCGGCTGGATTGTGAAGCAGCGCTGGACGCACGCGACGACAGTGAGGCAGTTCTCACTCTTTCAGCTCGAAGTGCCTGCCACTTCTCCAGAAGCACTGGTACCTGAGAAAGTCGCATGTCAATCAAGGGCTTGACAAGCCAGCAAGGTGCCTCCGGAATGTTGTTGTGAAATATCTCCACGCAACGGACCTGATCAAGAGCACTATCCTGAATCCCCTTTGCCAATGCAGAATCGAGGCCGGGACGTTCACGGGCCGAAAGACCTCAAAGCCAAGCCAGGCCTCCCCGCTTCGAGCCTTTGCAGTGGCATCGGGGTTGCTCAACATTTCAGCGAACCTGGATGCAGGTGTTTTGGTGGAACTGGAAGAGCCTGATGCCTGGTGCACTCACCGCATCCACAGTGAGCGTTTCGAGGAGGCTCGTTTTCGTTCGAGCTGAAAAACAAAAACGATCACGAAAGCAGAGGCAGAAAAGAGCATGGACACCTGACCTTCGGCCATGCAAGATCATGGTGTCGACAGGCAAGATCCGAAGCCGGAAGGCAGCCTCCGGTATAGTCAAACATGCAGGACCAATGGGATGCCTTGCAGGCAACCGTCCCTCGGTGAGTGTCAGGATTTGCGCTCTAACTTTCTGCTTTAAACAGTTCGGCGGCAACCGGACGTGTGCAAACTCACGACAGAACACGTCGTTGGCTTGCAGAAACATGGCTTCCAGAGCGCTTTGCCAGCTCGAGCCTGGATTTTCAGCGTGACAAGACCGCAGCTTTGCTGCGTTGGCTAGACTGATTTGGCCGTTCTTTCGTGCAAAGTTGTTGCAATTGCGCTTCTCGTCAGTCCAGTCCTTAGTGGCAGGCTCAAGTGTCGCGACATGGGAAGCTGCGCTTCCCACGTGTCTCCAAGCCGTAGCTGCTGCATGCCAGGGGTGTGACAGTCGTGACACCGGAATCAGTGATCTGTAATCTCTTGCGACTCTCGCGACATCCCGGCTGAGAACCTCGCTCCATGGCTGCGCTGCTGGGCGCCGAAGGGGCCATTGCCTCCTGCATCTCAAGTCTGCGACAGTGTCTGCAACTGAATCCAACTGGTTCCAGGTGCTTCTCTGACTCAGGCCTTCTGGCTACATCTGACCGACATAGATGCCCAAGCACTGTGCTTATATGATGTTGTCTTCTTTTGTCTGCGCTAGTGAAGGTCGGCGCTGCTACACCAAGCCAAAGCCGGTTTTGTCTGCAGCTCAGCAAGGGGAGTTTGGCCATGCTTTCCTGGTCTACATGCAGCCACAACATGCCGTCGAGAAGCTCTGCCAGCTTCCAGGCTTCGGCGGGCCCTCCCCGCAGACATCCTTGCTGAGGCAATTGCATGAGGTCTGATCTCCCAATCCCTTTTGCTGGCAGGGCGGAGCGAACTTCATGTCGACCTTGTCGCACCAAGCTGGACGTGCAGTGGAGTTTACCGGGAGCGCGGTTTCCAGAAGCGTCGACGAACAGCATCCAAGCATCGTGCCATCCGACGCAGGGCAGCATGCCCCACTGAGCTTCAAAGATTGACAAGCAGGGTGAACAGCGCAGTCGGCTTTCGGGTCAACTGTCACATTGGCAGGTGCGGCCGGTGCTGCCGCAGGCGTCGCGGCAGGTGCTGCAGCAGGGACTGCAGCAGGGGCTGCCACGGGTGCTGGCACCACTGCAGGAGCCACCACAGGTGCCGGTACCACCACAGGAGCTGGCGCCACCACTGGATGAACGACTGGATGAACCGCTTGAGCACCACACGAACAGCAGGAGTAAGAGTAGGTTTGCCAGGAACCAGGCAGGAAGGGCCCGTAGCCGCCACAGACATAAGGACCCAAGCAAGGGCCACAGCCTCCAGGTCCGCCATTGCACGATGCAACGAAGCTTCGACTGTATGCATCCATGTTGTAGCACCAGAAAGGGATTCCAGGTTGTGGCTGCTGGTCAAGTTTGCCCACTTTGCCCACCGTCAATCCTGTCTGAAGCAACTCCACATTCATCTCTGCCACCTCGACATCGACCTCACAGGCATCTGCCTCACAAGCAGACCCGGTGACCACACCGAGCAAACTCGGAACAAGGAACCAATTCATCATGTTTGTTCCGAGAGGGCTCATGACAAATAAAGTAGAGTCTGGCTGCCACTGGGGTTTCTTGGCAAGCTCGGGCCCAAATGTACGAAAAGAACAGCGGCGTGCAGCGACCTGCACCTGATGTAACTAGAGCAACTGGGAGCTGCAAAAAAAAAAAAGGCATTCTGAAATCTCCTGTCCTCCCGGAGCCACGCCAAGGAGACCTTCAGCCCTGACATTGCCATTTCTGGACCTACAAGTTTGCATCATGGCTTGCTGTCTCAACGTTGCTCGGGTCTCGTCCCAACACCCCTTCAGCTTGAGCCTCAATGCGGATGTAATGTCACGGTGTGCGAAACAAGCAGGCAATGCGAGCCTGCATGGAAGCAGATTAAACTAGCTGTTGAGCTCTGGGCTTGCTTGGAGTACCAGAATTCCTTCTCCGTTGAGCTAGCCTTGAATCCGACTTGCTGCTCTTTAGACTCAGCAACTGTTCAGATTCGTGCAGAGCTGCAGTCCGAGGCGAGCACCAAAAGATCGAAAGCATGGCTGGGCTTGAAGTTCGCGCGGTGACCGCTCTCCAACGTTCGCAGGTGGCTCCTGGCTCTGCGGTGAAACTCATGCAAGAAACCGCAGTCAAACAAGCACAGTAGCAGCGACTCCTCACCCTCATGGAGCAGTTCGCATCCGTGTAAAATGCGACTTCATGTACCATCCAGCCCCCAACGTCTTGCTCGCACACCTCGCTGTGGGATGCCCGCGTTTGAAAAGAAATTCCACTCGACTCTTGCAGTCTAAAAACAGATCTGCACAAGCCGGTCTATGCTGGACATTCGGCAAAGGACATTCGCAAACAGAACCGCCCTCCAGCTACTTTCGCATACTTTCGCGACTACCGTCCGTGTGTACTTGGTGCCTTGTTTACGCGGTCTTTACAACCCCAAGCATCAGCGGTGCTGCAGTGCACACCACGCACAGGAGGTCTTTTCACTGTAGATGGTGTCGCGGAGAGAGGATGTCAACGATCCGTTTCAACAAACTCCAAGCTGACGATGTCTTACCCAAAATCTACTAAGTTGCAGTCCCCCTTTTGGTCGAAATGCGAGCTGCGCCCGGCCGGGCACACCGCACCGAAAACCGGTGCCGGTGCCGAGGTGCGCACTTCCGCGTCCGCTCGGGGCACCCCCCACCCACAAGGCGCCGGCACTTCTACCAAATGACAAGATCATGCAAAATCCTACAGCCAACAGCCTCTCAGGCGCCCGGCCGCCTGCGAGGACCAGCATCTCGTTGACCCGCTCCCTGACGCGGGTCCGGCCCTCGGCCCAGGTGGACGACTATGGTCTCGAACTTCGCCACTTCCGGCGCGACGAGCACCAGAGTGGCGGTGCAAGCCCGGCCGGCTTCCGTCAGGAGCTCCTAGTCCCCCGTCCACTTTCGCCCCCAAAAACGACTACTACTTTTGATGATATAAATCCTGCATTACCTTGAGGACCCTAAACTATTGGAATTATATGGGTAATGCAGGAATGCAGGATTTATATCATCAAGCGTAGTAGAGTCGAGTCAAGCCCGGGCCGCCGCTTTCGCGGGAGCCCGGAGATGCCATGCCGTCCACGCGTGCGGGAAGCACAGTCGCCCGCGAAGGCGCTGAGGACCGCTGAGGACCCGCCATGGCTCTCAGAGCCTGAGCCGGAGCGAGACTGCAAGTCCACGGCGTCGGGCCCTTAAGACACCGGCGGCGTGGACTCATTTGATTTGGACGCCGGCCCAGACGAGGACGATGGGAGGACGCCCTGGTCGGATGAGCTCCGGCTGTCGCGAGGCCGTGTAGGCACCGTAGGCCCAGCTGCCCAGGCGAGGCTGGCCGCCGCCAGTCGCCGCCGGCCTTGGAGGAACCAGTCGAAGCCATGACCAGGCGAACTGGAGGCACATTTCGAAGATGCGGAAGTCGAAGATGCGGTCGAGCCGAAAGTGTTTCGGCGACCGCAGGAGTTTCTTGCTACTCGCACACGTGCGCTACACGACAACCAGTCGATCAAGAGTCGAGTCCCTGCGTCCACCAGCTGGCCCACAAACAAGAGGAGTGAGAGTTATGATTGATGATCACTGTGTGGGGGGCAGGCAGCTGGCAACGAAGGTGCAATTGGGAGGAAGGGCCTTGCCAGTCATCAGACTGGAGTTTTGCGCTGGTTGCGATCCCATCCGGTTTATCTTTCTCCGGGTCAACATCGTTGAAACATGGATGCATTCTCATCTCGGTGGACTTGAAGGACTGTGTCAGTGTACGTCCTCCTACACTTGTTCCGGTCTGTGTCGCGCAGCCGCATGGACATCGAAGTTCTCGAAGAGGATGAAGGATCGACAGCACAAGATCAACAATAATCATTGATTCTCACCCTATCGTCCCCGCTTTCTCCGTGTAGGCAGGGGTGTCGGAAGCTTCGACCACATAATGTAAGTACGAAGCGAAAGGACATGGCATGGCAAAACAACGCTGCCGCAAAGGCAGTTCCATTTTTGGAAGACTTCCCTCTCAATTTGCGAGCAGCAAGCGCTTGAACAGAGCGACAATAGCTTGAGTAACAGTGTGGCGTGCAGCTGAAATTTGGCATTTTTGTTGAACGCATTGGCAATGGAAGAGTAAGGCGCCAAACAATGCAGCGCACCAAACTTGTGCTGGGTTGAAGACGATCCGCCACTTGGTCGAGGCACCTTGGCTGTAGCATGATGCCCAAAGCCTTACTCTCGCCTTCTGTCGCTTTACCTCCTCACTCTGCTGGCAAATCCGCAGTGTGCTTCGTCTCCGACAGTCTGATGTTGCTACTTGATCTCAGCGGCTGGTGAGCGGTGGCAGCGGCAGCTGAGGCTCGTTGGACCCAACGCAGCACCGCCTGGAGGAGCGCAGTCAAAGCTGAAGGACCTGTTAAAGGACCCAAGCCTGAAGCTGTACCGGCCATCCCAGCAGTCAGGATTTCCACCAGGCCTCGAGTCTTGCGGACAGTGACAGTCACGTGACTGAAACTGAAACTAAGTAACTAAGTGCTTCGCCGTTCGGTGCAGCAGGTCTCCTTACTGCTGGTGTTGACTCAAAGAGCCCTGCTTTAGGGCTTTTGCAAGACAGCGGCTCGGGTGAAGTGTTCGTCCCAGCATGGACTTCCTCCCAAGGCGGCAGCTATATGTCAATGTGCATTTTTCTCTTCGACCACATTCAATGCGGTGCGTGAGTTCAGCCGCCTTGGCTCGTCAAGAACTGCGCAACCAGGGAAAGGCCATAGCATCGCCGCATGCGGAGCGAAGGATTCCATTGCGCACGCTTAACGTTCGGATTGCATTGCATTGACGGTCTTTTAACATATCTCACTGCTGTCCCTCATATAGTCGATCATAAAGCTCACAGACATCCACTCATGTTGTAATGTCGCAATAGATGCAGCATGATGAGCTGCCAGCTGACTCAAAAAAATCGGACATCGCTTGACCACATGCTTGCCGCTAACTTTCTGTTCAGATCAGGGCAGCGGGGGGGGCTCTCCCACGTCCCGCAGGTCTGCCACGCGGTCCTTGTACTCCAACCTGGCAGAGAAAGCATGGCTCGGCTAGGCTGCTCCGAGACGTTCCCTCGTATAAGGCGAGCCAGGCCAACAGTTTCTTGCTCTCTTCGGGAGTGGGCAGTACGTGGATGAGCAACTGCACCGCAGATGCTTGCAGAATTTGCACAGGCCATAGCACGAAAACCTGCCCAGCTGGAGACGACACCTGGCCTCTACGTCTTCGGGATTGATGAAGCTCTCGCTGAAGTGGAGGTCCTTCAAATTCTGGCAGAACTCCTGGCATCGCATTGGCAGGATGTAAATGGAGGCAGCTTGTCTGAATCCATCAGCAAAGCCCCTATGGACAACGCTCCTCGGTAGAAACCTCGGCTATCAAGCATGGCAGGATACTCAAGACATGTAAAGCACCTCTTGCAGAGTTTAAAGGATAGCAAGGATGTCAAGGCAGCCGGGGCCGGGACCTTCATCTTGCTCATCACAATTGCGAGGTTCTGTGCCCGCGAGCCATCCAAAAGGGTGATTCCTGATGAGATACTGACAGCACATCGTCAAGGCAAGGCCCCCCAGGCATCGCAGGGACGCAAGGCCTGCTTTCTTGGTGATGGACTTTCGCCTGCCACATCAAAACACACACTCCCCCGACATTGCGCACAGATTCCCCGATTGGCCCATGGCCTGCCGACGAGAACCGGTTTCTCTGCGGCTTCGGTCGAAAGCATGGCCTGCACAAGCCAGAGTTGGAAGGTGACCGGTTCTAACTTCTGCAGGCCTTCAGCAACTCCGGGTCGAAGCGAACGTCGGAAGTGAGGCCGTGGAAGACAGATTGCTGCGAGGGCTCGTCATATTGAGCCCCAGCCCAATGCAAGCGGCGTCCAAGAGGCGTGTGCCCGACAAAACGCGGAGGCGTCGCTGCGGCCTTGGACTTTGGAGCCGCCTTGCCTTTGCCGCCCTTGCCGTCGCCTTTGGCCGGAGGTGGGGGGGCTTTGCCCTTTCCAGGTGGGCCTTTGCCAGGCCCTTTTCCTGCCGCGCCTTTTGCAGGAGGACCTTTGCCAGGACCTTTTCCCTGGGAGACGGCGCTTTCGCTCTGCTCTGTTTTCTCCTTCTCTTTCTTCTCTGCCTCCTCAGGCTTCTCTTTCTCCTTCTCTTGCTCGGCTTCTGCCTTTGCTGCCGCATCTGCCTGCGCCGCACTTTCGGCGCCTTGCTTCCCAGCTGGCAGAGCTTTCCCGACTTTGCCCTTGAGGCCTTTGGGGCCCTTGATTCCCCCCTTGCCCTTTCCTGGTGCCATCACCTTTCCCTTGTCTCCTTTGCCACTGCCCATTGAAGACTGGCTTGTCATAACAGAGGCTGGTGAGGCATCGTCTTCGTCGGCTGCCTTCTCCGTCGCATTGCTGGCATTGCTGGCCATGCTGACGTTGCTCACCGTGCTAGCATTGTTGAAATTTGCCTCGAGCGCTCGGCAAAGGTCCCTGGAAGCCTCCAGTGGCAGCTTGGCAGAAGCCTGCCGGGAGACCTCTTCTTCGCTTGTGAGACTGGATCGTCGGAAAGATTCAAGTGATGACTCGCTGGCAATGGGCGAGGCTTCTGGAGACAGATCCGGGCTCAATTCAACGGAGGTTGGACCGGAAGATCCCTGCTCCTGTGCCAAGAGGTCTTTGATGATCACCCCACCTCCAGATGGAAAGAAAGAACAAGTGCTTGCACTGCTGCACCATCAGTAACGGTTCGAACCCCTCTGTTGCTGCTACTTGCAGGCTGTGGCAAGCATGACCGCAACCCTCCCCACAGCGCAGCCGTGATCACTCAAGCACGGAGACTCGCAGGCCTTTACCGGCATGCCGGGAGCTGTCTGCCTCCAGCATTGCAAAGCAGGCCGGCAGCAGTTCTCGTCGTGACCAATTGCCAGACCCTCCACTGCCTCGTTGACACGAACCGGGCTTTGCCTCAGACAGACCGGACACATGAACATGCTGGTCCACATAATGTACAGTAAGACCCAAAGCGTGTTTCATGTGCTTCGCACAGGAGAGTTTTGCGGCTTACCCGCTCGCTTTTAAAGGAGCAGCAACAAGTCTCTGTGTCTGTGGTGGCAGCTGCTTTGCGAGCTCAGATTGCTGCTGTATTTCACGAGGCGTTTAATTGATCGACACGCTTGTTCTCTGCAGGCTCGATATGGCTCGATTGCTCATGACGACATCTTCTGCAACATCTTGAAGCAACCCAGCGCCGTCAGCGAAGATGTCGGAGCGACTGCAGCCATCGTTCGGATGCCCAGGCCACGTCGGCACAGTAGGATGCGAATTCACACCTCTATGACATGTAATAAGGAAATCCATCGTCAATCAAGCTGAGATGCTGTCTTCGCCAAGGAGCGACAGGGTCTACGAGAGAGGAGGTACATTCGTCGGATGATGCTGTCATGAAATCTCATATATGACACTCGTAACCGGTTCACCGACGTTTCCCGACTGACCGTCGCCTTCCGCTGCAGGACACTGCACCAAACTCGCCCTCTCGAGATCACTACCCGGCGTCGCGAAAGGCAGGGACTCAGGGCTTCGCTTCGACTCGAAGCATTTCCGCTTCGCGATTCGCTGGATGCTGGACAGAAGACATCAGAAAGTTGTTGACGGCGTTTCTGCAGTCCGCATGTTGACGCTCCATTGCGCGGAAAGTGATTCTTCGGCTGAAAGCCGCGCGACAAGACTCAGGCAAATCGTCCGAAAGGACAGTGAGCCCCGGGCCCACCATCGTTGAACCAATCGTCGGTCGCATCGATGCCTCCATTCCAAAGCTAGGAGTTTAGACTTTCAGCCCTTTAACACTACCGAATTCGCGAACTTAGGCAGACATGTCAATGTCGTTGCCTGGTCTTCACAGGCAGAGGTCTGCAAGCTGCTTTTGTGAATTAAGGACCTGGCTGTAGCTGACCAGCTCGGAGTCATCTTCATCCATTCGAACAAAATGCACGGTGCTTCCCTGCGGCTTTGTCAGCTTGCAAGAAACGGCGTGCGATGTAACGCTCCGAGAAAAGACGACGAGTTGTGTTTCGCAGCTCCGCGCTCCTCCAGTTGCCGGTTAACAGGCCTGAAATCGAGATGAAGCATGGCACAGCCACGGACACTGCCTGTGACCCTGTCCAGCTCATATACTGAGATGATGACACATCATCTGTGAACCAGGCATCCATCGGATCGGGAAGGCCTGACGGTCGACGCAGCGACTCTCAAAGTGCTTCGATTCTTCTATTGCCCAGACCATCATGTTCGGCCTGCGTACGGAGTCCTCTCCCCTTCAGAGTCGCCATCCGCAATGTTGACCACCTGCTCTGAAGTAAGTGGCACGGCCTGGCGAGGAACGAATGCCACTGAGACTCCACGCACGGTAAACTGGACATAAAAGCTGCTTCCTGTCATGCAGTTTGCCATCCGTGCTGCGCAGCAGGGAAGGTCCGGGTTTGCCTCCCTTAAGGAAGCCACCCAGTAAATAAATGAGGATGTTCGATGGAACACCCTCTTTACGATCTCCACTACACATCTCTATGCATATTCATAAACCGAAGGTTGAGTGGCACCTTATCAGCCAAACGTTACACACTCGGCTAGTCTGTGCCACTTGAACCTTCAGTTGTCTCAAAGATGATCTCTCTCGGTTACCACATCACAGGTGTCGTTTGACAACAGTGGCCCAGTGAGAGAGCTATGAACAGAATCGAGGATGCCCAAGCAGGTAAGCTCAAACCCATTGGGAAGAGACATGATGACTGAAAGTGCTGCGACTACAAGTACACGATGTTTACAGCACGAACAGGTTGCAGAGCTCACACAAATATCCATGCAGAATCTCCGATGCGGATCGACTTCGAGAGACTCATCGATCAACTCATTCGCGATGGCCTTGTGCAATCCAAGCACGAAACTCGAATGATTCCTGTCCTGCTGTTCCCAGGGCCGCGACGTTGGCGGTTCTGCTGCTCTAGCCGAATCTTGCAGTTGGCACTCGTCTAAGGCTACGGTAAACGCTGGCGAATAGGTTCTCCAGTCCTGCGGCAGTCACTGGACTGGGACTGCAACTTGCATCAGCGGGGAGGACAGCTCCCAGGGTCCTACTCCTGTCGCAAGCGACAGCACTGTCCTTGGCCATTGTCGCTGGCCCCGTAAGAATCTGACCAGAACCTGGCACCAGTCCATGCTGCAACATCCCTAGGCCATGAGAGCCTTCAGAGACTTGAACATGAAGGCAAGGGACAAGCAAAATTCTTCAAAGTCTACCACGTCATCCCGGTTCTTGTCCTCGGCGACGGTATCAAATGTGGCTTCTGCAGCTAAGCGATTATGTTGACAGCCGAGCTGCGGCAATGCGCCATAAATTCGCAACCTCGAAACTCTGCAGAGAGCGAGCCCCAGGCCATCTGAGGTGCTACAGCCAAGTCACCCGATTGGGTTCCAATTCTGTCTCTTTCCTGGCTCAAAAAGAGGCTGCACAAAAATACACGCGCCAGTTGACAACAACGCCATGGGCCAGTAGATCCGTGCAGGAGAGCAGCGGCAGCTTGAGCAGGTGCCGCAGGATGTCCTCAAACTCATCTATCTCGATCATGCCTCAGCTCCAATAGTCAATAACCACTGCACGCATCTTGCTCCAGCTCGCGTGGAACGTCTTTGCAGGAAGCTGTGCTTCAACCCAGCAGCCGCTGCCGTCTGCATCAAACTTGTCGAAGGCTTTTCGATAATCATCGACATCCACAACCTCACAAGAGATCACAAGAGCAGAAAAGGCGATCAAAGGGCAGAAGGTTGATTCGCTGCTCAAAGGCGAGCCTCGAGGCCCAGCTTCTTTGCCAGCCGCCGGGTCCGATGGTCCTCCTCGTTGTCAGCCCGGAGTGTGGTTGGGCCCAGGGCCAGCTAAGCACAGGACGCTCCTTGTTCGGCGTCAGCTCCTCGGAGAAGCTGAAAGCAGAGTACCAGATGAAGAAGTCCCGGACGTCCTCAGCGGGCAAAGTGCTTTGACAGCGCCGAGAAGCCTTCCAGAGCTGGGCTCGAAGCAATTGCGTCGCTGCCGCTACGATTCACCGTCCGCGTAGCCGTCTCTACGAAGTGTGGCGAAAGATCAGCAAGGCTTTCTACCTCAAAAGTCACAACAATCCTCGAGAGCTAGAGAGCTTAAGCTGCAGAAGCTGCACTTGCGGAAGCACCAGCTCAGAGCTGGACCCGAGTCAGCTCCTTAGCGGGAGATATCGGCGCGAAGGCAAGGTTGCATGAGATTGCTAACAGGTTGCGTTGCTCCAATGCACTCTGTGCGGGCAGTTTGCACACAGCAGCTTCGTAAAGTTGCTCATTCGTAGCTTCCGCTGGAATAGATCTGCGCCTGTGTGGAACTTCTTGGCATGGAGCTCATGCACATAGCAGATCATTACATGAAGGCGTAGAATGCCGTGGATCAACCCGAACGTAACGACTCCAGAATGGCCTTCCCCATCAGAGTAGCGCTTGAAGATTTCAGTCGCTGACTGCACAAGATCCAGAGGCACTCGAAGCTCGTGTGCCAACCTCAATCCCCAGCGCCGAGCTTGCTAAACGACGCCAACTGCAGTATCACTTCCGTGACAAAACGGAAACAGAGGAGTGCTACTGCCTCTGTTCCACTAGTCTTCCCTGCTTCTCCCACATTCTTTCCCTCGCGGGGGGAGGTGCTGGCTTTACGCACTTTTGCGATCCATTGGCCCTCAGGATTTTTTGGGAATAGAACTGGAGCCAAACTGCACCTAACGTTTAGGGTCCGAAGCTTCTGCAATGTGCGTCGGCCGACCAGCTGTCATCCCGCATGTGCAGCATTGCTAGATAACCCTAAGAACGCAGCAAGGGGCAGCCCCGACAACAAGTTGAACACATTCAAGTGAGTCGCTGGTGGATTTGTGGGCCCTTGGCGATGGAGACACGTGTGGTCGGCGTATCCACCGATGTCAGGTCGAGGCCTCTCGCAAGATGGGGCCAGAACAGTTTTCAGACATGCTCCCAGCTCCGGGCCATCAATCGGCGGCAGTGTCTCCTCAGGGAAGAAGCTGCTGACGGAAGCATGTCAACGAATGTCGGGTCCAATAATAACCAGGCTGCGAGGAGAGCTTTGCCTGAATACCTGGGATGCTTTGGGGGGTGACTCACACTCATATCAGTCACTATTATGTTTGTGAACTGCAAACGTCTATATCGACCCGGACACCTCTGCCGTGGACTGTGGTTCAGAGGAGCAATCGGCATCAATTGCGACTGCCCCCGGCGTTTCTCCTTCCGCATGTCTCCACTAATTTGTCGAGCCATGGAGCCTTCAAAGTCAAGGCCGAAAAGGCACGGCTGCCCGAGCCACATGGGAGAGCCCCTGCCTTTCTTCGAGCTGATGGACGAGTGCCTGCTGAGGGAATGCTCGCAACTCCAACTACAGGGCAGTAGACGCTGAGCATTGCTTCTCAAACTGCAAATCTTGACAGCGTTCCGCGGCCTCGCGTCTGGCCTAGGTATGACCGCGTGGCTCTGTGTGATTCGAGCGGCCCCAAGTCCCCGGCTGATCATCGATACTGTCCGAAGGCTGCTCGTGACCTGTGCTCGACTGTGCGAAGATGCGCAGAGTAGTTCAGCCAGGAAGTGAGGCTGCACGCCGCCAAGCTGCTGCTGCTTTCCAGCACCTGCTTCGGAAGGAGCGCAGACATGATCATGGGCTGGATCGCACGTGAATCAAGCGAAGATCTGCAGAAGAGCACGGCTTGAGGATGACCAGCACTGGAGAAAATGATTGGGAGGTACGCCAATGCCTGTGAGTCTGGTATTGGTGTTGCCGGAGCACCTCACAATGTGCTGCGATTACAGACTCTCTTGGACGATGAACAGCCGAAACTAGCAACACAAACATGAGAGTGATCGTCTGAAACCAAGAAAGCAAGATTCAGGATGCATGCTTCACTAGAATCACTAGAATGCCCGCAGAAGGAAGCCGAGCTTCCCACTGAAATCGCTTTGCGGAATGCCTAGGCTCTGCTTTGCTCACAACATGTAAGGGCCAGATGGAAAGAAATCAACCAAGTTGCCGTTCTCGCCCCAGTAGACCGCGTGAAGTCCCGGTTCTGACCTGCTTGCGGACAGTCTCTTGTGTTGCGCAGTGCGCACTGCTAAGCCACAATCGGGTGCCTGATGTGGCGCAAGTCTCCACAGAAGCGCTTGGTCATGGGCTGGCCGAGCGCGTGAAGGAGAGAGGGGATGTCAACGTCACATGAAAGCCACAGCCTGGTTTTTCCGTCCGACTCTTGGTAAAGCCTCCCAGCGTATGCCAAGCAAGCGATCAAATGCAGAGAAAACGAGACAGGGAGACCTTCCCATCAGGGATGCTTTTGCGGGCTTGCCTGACAGGTTTGCAGGGATATTGCCTGGTTCTTCAACAGCCCAAGACATTTGGGTACGATCAAGCGCACGGCAAGATCAAATTGACTGGGATCTGCCTCAAATGCTTCACTGCGTGAGTTGCACGCTCATCCACGAACCTGACGGTATGCAAATCACAGAAGCCCGTTTGTGGAGCTGTGAATGAATGTGAATGATTAGGCACGGCATCGCTGCCCACAACAAAAGATGCGGCAGCATCACAGAGAGACACAATGGCCAATAACCGCGATGTTGCTAACAAGGCTTCGTTCAAAATCCGACACAAAACAACAGATTGCACTGGGAACTGCACTTCGCGAAGTCGGACCAATCTCTGAAGCCGTCAGCTTGGAACCTTGCAACATCTTCGCACGCGCACTGAGACCGGTCTGTCCCGTCTCGGCGTCGACTGTACACTTTGGCCAAAACATCCCAAACAACCCATCACCGATTCAAACCAGGGCCCGAGAAGTCCTCTAATCATCCCTGGTTTGCAGTCCCAGCTATAGCCGGGTCAAAACGAAACAGCCAATGTAAGGCCTCGGGCCTGAAGCCTAAAGCAACACGTTGATGCGTAGTCAGTTCATGATGCACAACGGACCCTGCGTGAATGACTGAATGGTTATCCACGAAAGACTGCCTGAACACGGTGGCGGTGGGAAGGCATGGAGGACACTGAGGGCTTAAAACGCTGCACCGCAAAGTAGAAAAACGCGAAATCTCTTGCGCAGAATGCCATCTCTGACAGAAGCCCCTTAATAGAAAACATCTAACACTAAACTGCTCTGGCAGAAGATGATGGATGAGACGAGGTAGTGAGTGTAGGTTAAGAAAGCAGGCCAAACTGACCAGACAAAGCAAAGCCAAACCAAGCCAAGCCAAACCTTGTTGAATCAGATTGTTTGCAACCGTTGACTGACCGAAAACCCTCTCTTGCAGAAATCCCTGTCAATGATCATGCCTAACAGAAAACCGAAGGCCCCATCCAACTCAAAATTCTCTCTAGTAGTGAAACCCCGTGCATAACTAGATGGTTAAAGTCAAGATGACAACCAAGCTTAAGCCAAACAGAGCCGAAGCAAATTAGGCTGCCAAGCCCCTTGAAATCAGAAGTATTACGACCTTTGTCCGGCAGATTCAAGCTTCCCCACCGAAAGAAAGCCCTGTGCAACACAAACCCGACCCCTACACAATACTCGCACAAAGCCCTCTTCAGCAGAAAACCCTGCGTACGACTGGAGAGGAGAGCTTGGGGCCCCGAGCCAAACCATGTCAAATCAAACTTAAAGCCCGCACAGCCCTTGTCAACAGAAAGCCTCCTCTAGCAAAAAAGGTCTTTAGCTGCAGCAGAAAACCCTGTCCAGCAAAATCCGGCATAACAAACATCTGTCTAACAGAAAGCCCAGTCTAACAGAAAACCTTGTACGGCTACACATTGCATACCGTTAGCAAAGAAGCCAGTCCAAGCTGAGCCGAGCCAGATAAAGATTGTAAAACCCAACCAAACCAGGCAAACCAAACTAAGCCAAGTCATGCCTTAGATCAGAACTCTTACAGCGTAAAAGCCCTTCCTAACAGAAAGCCCTCTCTAAATGAAAAACCTGTCCGTCAGAAAAACCCTGTACAACAGAAACCCTCTGCAACACCTCTCTAGCGGAAAACCCTGCATGACTAGATACCTTACGGAATTCCAAACTAGGCCAGGCCAAATCGGGGGCTGCGAGAGACCTACGGGACGCAGGGGATGTGCGTGCAAGATGCACGCAGAAATGCTCGGGACATGCAACACTTGGTGGGCACGCTCACGCATGCGAAGCGCAGAGACGTAGGGGACGCGGGAAATGGCCACGATTAAACCCCCCTCCTCAACTGCCTCAGACTCCACATCTGATAAAATCAGTGTCTTGAGTTTGTCGGCTCTCCTCCGACCCTACTGCTTAAAGCAAGAGTAAACTAAATTCAAGCCTAGCTCCACCAGCTTTCGTGATAGAGATATCATGGGTTGATGCAGTGGGTGCCCGTGATGCGTTGCTTACCTGATTTTTCGACGGAAAGGATTTTGGTCTGGCACTTCTCGGTCCTAGATATTTCAATTCGTGGTCTGTAGAATCACTGTAGAACGTACTACGGAGACGACAACTACCGAAGACGATAATTTCAACTCAAACTGAAGCCTAAGTTATGCTAAGTTAACGGCCTCATGGGTCCTTGGAAGCCTCTAAGAAGCTGTTCCCAAAAGGACCTTACAACCCATGCAAAATACACGCAAAGGCACCCGCACATGAGCGACCAGCCACGGATCCGCTCGGGTGCATCATTGTATGGCACGGACGCTGCTATCACCATGCTATAAAGCCGGAAGGTACAAGAGTGGATGGTATGGTGCTGGTTGTGAGTGCTTTTGTCGAAGTGCTTGGTTCAAGTGTGGTTCACATGTCTGCTTGGATTGTTCTGGTCCAGAGCTCATGCACAAAACGTGCATGTGAGTCGATGTATGACTGTGCATGACGACTGAGGGCTCGACATGGTGCAATGTCTACCATACTGGACATCTAGCCAATGCGCAAGAAAGGATATCGAGCGAAGCTGCCACGTGCACTGAAAAGTGAAGCGTGACTCTCGGAGCGGCACATTCGCTACCAAGAGGGCACAGCTCTCGGAACCGCGAACCCAAAGCACCTGCTCTTGGCTGTCTGGCTCCTCGCTCTCGGGGTCCATAAGTGGCATGGGCCACAGATCCTCCCCGTGACTGTGGGTGTTTCATTGTGCTTGCAGTGGCATTGCTCTCTTCGTTTCCGTCGAAAATCGCAGGGACGGAGAAGGCAGGCATCTGCGGATCCTACGATAGCTCCAAGACGCCTAGCGCAGTGACCATGGGCACCTGAAGCTCAGTGTCGGCATCGCTCCGCAGCTGCTCCGCAATAGGATCTTTGAGCTCCAGCCCATGGACCTGCGCCAAAGCTTTCGACCGCTGGACACAGAGATGTGGCTCGGCTTCAAGTCACCTTCACATAAGCCTGGAATGGGCCTGCAAAGCTTTGGGACGTCGACGACGCTTCACCTCAGAGCAGCTTGAGCTTGCAATGCTAGATCTGCTAGGTGTCGACATCTGTCACTATCTGTCACTGTCATGTGGTGCATCAGAGGCTTCTGCTCGAACCTTCTCGATGAGTTCATCGCTCTTCCGCAATGCCTCGGAGCAAGGTCTTGAAGGCTCTGCTGGCATTTCTCGTAGCGGCGTGTCGTTAAACGGGGAGGGCTCCTTGAGTCTTCCTTAGGCCTTAGGCTTAGGCGGAGCTGAAGAAGGACGCAACGCCATTGAGAGCTGGGACTTTCTTGTTACTTCCAGAAGGGGCATGTAGAGTAGAGACGTCCGGGTGCGCAGCCAGGGCTGCTTCCATGGCAAGGGTGGCACGGGAAGCCACCGCACCCTGAAGTGCATCGCGGCCCCGGTCAGTGATGCCCTGAGTCGGGGCAGACAACGAGAACTGCATGTTTATGTGTTGTGATGGGAGGTGGGCTGTGTCCCACAGGAAGACCTCCTCCACACCCCAGAGAGCCTGGCAGCGCAGCGCAGGCACCGTCAACGAGCCAGAAGAAACGTTCAAGACTTGGCTTGGGCCTCGAAGCGGACGCTGTCTGAGCCCAAGCAAGCCATGGCGGCATTGGCCAAAGCCTGCCGGAGGGCCCAGGTGGCTTTATGTCGGGCCTGTGCTCTTTGCCCCACGTGCTCTGCCTGCGCACCCTGATCACGAACTGGATTACAAGACAGATCCTGGCAAGCGAGATGCGTTCTGCCTTCTTCGCCCATGCTTGCCCAAGCAAGCTTTCATCTTATGAACTCTACATCACATTCATCAACATGTCGAGCAAGACCAGCTCCACCACACACGCCAATTGTTTGCCTGGCGCTGAAAGCAGATGTGCCACTGGAAGCTGAACTCTGGTGCACATGAGCCCACAACTCGCGCACCTTCGAACTGCGAATTGAGAGCCCGCTGCTTCTTCAATCCTTCACGACTTGGAACTTACAGCGGTGCCGTAGCCGTAGTCACCACATACGATCTGGTCGGGTCTTAAAGACTTGAGTCCTAAGGAAGTATTAGCCACCGAATGCACCCGTCCTTCAGCAAGGTGCGTCACCCCGACATCTCCAATGTCATTCCTGGCACAGGAACTGGAAAACGAAGCCCTAAGACCAAAGCGCTGAAAAGATCATTGCAGGCACTAGAAAGCAGCTGCAGCGCCCGAGATTCAGCAAACATGGCCTGACACAAGACATGTCGGTGCCAAAAGGCCGCAATTCCCGATCTTCCCCATGGGCTTTTGGATGCGACCCGCAGGAGCACATCTATGTGACGCTGGCCCCTTCGGCCGCAAATACTCTTGCCACACCGACACGCGGCGTGGAGGACATGCGATGCTGGAGGCACTCAAAGACTCTCTGCAATGTCTTGTCTTCGGACGTTGCATCTGGTATCCGGCATCCCCACTCTGCCACTCAGCTGCCGGATTTCTGAATTGTGACCTGTTCAGGCTCATGGAGAACTCTGCCACTCCAGTGGCCTCAAGCCTTTGGGGCCCAGCTGGCTCTCCACCCGGAAGGCAAAGTTCGGACGCTAATTCTTGAAGCTCCGGCCTGCGGCTGGAGTACAGTCGCACCGTCTAAGTTCAGACCTTGCAATCGTTCGCGCGCACCCCCATGCCCTCGAAAGGAGGAGCGTCTGCCGCTCTGGCCGTGTCCAGGTCGCGAGGTCCCGGATCTGGGCATTAAGTTCAACAGGCCGCAGCGCATCGGGCACTTGCTTCGCACGGCCGTCTGATCCGACAACCCAGGCTTCCCTCTTTTTCATGCTGCCAGAAAAGTCTAGAGTCGCACTGCCTAGCACCTCACTGGTGTAGGGCACAACCAACTCTCAAGTTCTTCTCCGGCTTCGACCTGCGAGCGCTTTTTCGTGTATGACTCTAGACCCGACATGTCAGAAGTGAGGCTTTGCAGTCTTGCTGCCATGGGTCACCCCGTTCCCAAGAATCACAAGCACATAACCCATCAGGATCACCGTAGACCACAACAGGCAAAGAGATGCCGACATTTCGGGAAAAAGAAGATCCATGACGCGTTGACATAAGCACGTGCCGACACGCTGCCTCACGTACAGTCTAAGAAGTCTAACGATGCCTCTTCTTGCGCTCCGACTCCTGCTTGCCTGCAGCGAGTCTATACAGGGGCAGGGAACCTGCTGGGTCGAGTCTGATTCACACGAGCGATTTCCATTTTTGCACCGCATGAAGTCACAATCCACCTGCAGGAAGCCGAGACTTCAGTTGCAAGGTGGCCTTCAGCCTGCTAAGCTTGGAGTCATCGCCCCCCCTTCTTGGCTAAGGGGGGCAAGCCAAAACTCCGGCGTGGCACTGGCCAGCGCGGCCAGGCCATGCGTTCAGGATGTTTTCCTGTTTCGGCCGGCACGCACCTGTCGCTACAAGTTCACCTGCAGGTTGGGCTGGACCAATCGAAGTTTGAATAGAGTCGTCGGAGTTGCTGCGTTTCTTTCGAAGCTAAGGATTGGAGCTGCTACCCTCATCCTGGGTTGGAACATTCCGGACTATCGGACTGCAACTTCAACTGGATTCAACCCGCATGAAGCGTGTAGGCCCAGTTCAATCGGGAATCATGGAACATCGATGTAGGGCACAGCTTGTGGAAAACAGTCCCTCAAACACTCATCGGAGGATCTGTGACACATGCGCAAGATTGGGCTTGAGGCCATGCTTCCAGCCAGACCTCCATCCGGTCTAGGCTTTCGGCAGCTTCCGAAGCCCATCGGAGCAAAACTGCTGGCCAGCTAAGCCTCTCCATCCCAGTTGGATAAGAGACGGCCAGCTTTCCCAGCGAGGGCCAAAAGCAGTTTGAATGCCAAGCATGATGTTTCAGCCGCACACTACTGCATTCCGTAGAAAGCGCTGGAAACAGCAGTAACGTACTCAGTAGCATTCATGCAAATTCCACGTTTCGCTTGCTGGGCACTCCTGCATTGCAAACCGATTCAGCTGGTCGTCGACACTGCTACCTTGGCCCAATGACAAGTCTTCCCTACATCCAGTCCACGATTGTTGATTCATCTGCATCGCCCCTAACTGGCAATTTGCTTCATGCGAGCTAGATAAAGTCTCAACCTGCCACAGTACCTGCCACAGTAAGAGAAATTGTCTTTTGGCTTTCGAGACGAAATCAGCCGTCACCGGTGGCAAAACACAGCTCGCGCAAGGCCTCTCCATTACGAAGACCCTCCCATCCACAACTCGCACCTCCCGGCCTGGTCTGCAAACCCTTTTGAGAGTGGGAGCGTTTCGTCAATAGAAGGACGGTTTCCTCATACTTCCTGAGATGTTGATCGGATCCCACTACAACACCAGAACAGTTTCTGCTTGCAGGACCCGTGTAACACAACAATGCAACTGTGGGAGTGAGTCGGTGCCAAGCGCAGGCGAAGCAGTGCGAATTGTATGCTGCGTTTTGGCTGGGTCCTCGCCAGCAGGGCGGAAAGAAACTTCTGAGCACCACACTTGGCCGGGAAAAGCAAGCCACGGATGGCTGGCTTCGCTTGCTCCATGACCTACCAAGGATCAAATCCTTGTCCACTCCTACAGTCAGTCTGCTCTAAGCTGTGAGGCTGGTGCCAAGCCGAGTCTTGTGTCAATGGTGTTGTCCTTACAGCATGGCCAGCTTCAGCTGGCGACAGACATCGGAGAGGCACTCTACGCAAAATGGGACACAAGAGAACAGATGCGCTGGCCGCTAGCCGGCCAATGCCCGCCAGTCTGATCCGGCCCAGCGCTCGCTACCAGTACCCTGGATTCTGCCATTCCACACTCAAGGGCTGCCAGCAAATCCTGTTCTCCTAATTTCATGGGTCGCTCCCCTGCATCTGACGGCTCCATCTGGCTTGCCCATCAAATGCGGTCCCTGAGCCCCAGACTACAGAGATCTTCCCACCTGAAAAGGCTGCTCCTCTCCCCTTTTCTGCTACCAACGGCCTCGCGGCCTAGCGGCCTTCACTTTCAAGGCTCAAATCCGGCCTTGGCACGACAGCACCACTCCGCCGAGGCACGAGGGGCCATCCTGCGAGCAAGACTTCGAAAATCCACCCAAGGGCACTGAGTGTGTCCGGTCCTTGCCGGGCACCTGAGTTCTCTGAAACAAAGCTTGAGGATCAAAGTGGGCACCGACCGAGGCAAGACACCGGAGCAGGTGGGAGGAAGCTGGTGTCGATTGTCAGCTTGCATGCCTGCCGGCCACGCAAGCTCCTCATTAATCAGAACAAGATCCACACGTGCCTTCGTGGCACCAGTCTCCTGCTTGATGATGCTGGCATACTGGTCAGAAGCTTCCTGAAACAAGCCACGCATGCAAAATGCTTATCACTGTCACGACTGAAAGCCATAACGGCCATAGGAGTTATACGAGTGCCAGTGTAGATCAACGCGAGGACTGCGTTCTGGGATCTCAAGCTGTTGTGGAGAAGCTATGGCCGAAGCTGTGAACCAGGAAGTGCGGCACCCCGGGCCCCACCCCCAAAACCACGGAGCCGAGTTTTGCGTCAGTCGACACAGCATCTGAAAACCCTGCGTACTGTGTCTTCGCCTGCATTTCCACAGGGCCTCATCTCCCTCCCTGCAATGCAGTTTTTGAGTTGTACTCGTTTGCTGTTTGCTCTGTGCCCCGCCGTGATGGACGCCTGATCGTCTGCTTGCACCAACCGTATATTGTGGCAATTGAGCCCGCAGTTCGCCCTATCAGACCTTGTTTTGAGTCACCTAGGCCTCCAGCTCTAAGCAACAGATCGATTAGTTGATTGTAGGTCAGGGCTTTCAGGTCGCCTACACTTGCATGTCCTTGAGGCACTGCTGCACCACCGCTTGGTCAGCCCTGAACCGGCAAAGCCATCAAGCAGTCGAACAGCAAGCGCAATCAGTTGGATGTTTTCCGCAACCGGAAGCCCGAGATCCCGAGATCGGCACTGTCGGCACTTCACAACTACCTGTTTGCAGCACTTGTTATCACCTTCACTTTCTCCGGGTTTTAAATCGGAAGGCCTCGCTCTCCAGCAGCATTAGCATGCCCTGAAGAAGCAGCTGCGTGACAAACCTGAGTTTTCAAAGAAGGCTGGCTTGGTTTGGCGAGTGACGCGGCACATGCAGAACTAAGGAACTTCTTGCCAACGTCAGCTTTCTGCAACTCCTGTGCTCGTTCACGAGCCAGCTGTGTCAACTTGGGCTCGGCATTGCATGCTTAATCAAAAAGCGCAAGCACACTACACACTTCAACCTTGAGAGCAAGCAAAACGAACTGCGTGTGCCCAACCCACTTCTGGCTCCTTTGTGATCGCTTCCTGCGCATCTGCGGAAACCTTACAGAATCGGACATGCTACAGGCTCCCGCAGCAACATGCTTTTGGCCTTGTGCATCACTTCCTGCCGAGCCTGGTGAATGCGAAGAGCGTGCAAAGGTACGAACAATCCGACCATGCTTTTCTTACTACATCTGGCAGCTTGTTGTGGCCTTGATCTTCTCGAGCCGCTGCTTGTTAATGGCCATGGACTTCGCGATGGCATACCTTGAGACAGTCAACATCAGACCATGTGGTATCTGATCCTCTCAACAAGCTCTGGGCCGCATGCTGGGTTTCGATTTGCTTGGTTTTTTTCTCGTATGTTTGCCGCACTTTTTCCTGCAAAGCGAGAGTAGCCGTACTGAGAGCATGCGTGTGTGTGCGTGCGTGCGTATGTGCGTATGGGAAACATGTGGCTTTGTCAATAATGAGAAACAAAAAATGCATATTGTCCCAAAGAGGTCAGGCCCTTTGGGAAATGGTCTTCAGCATTTCGACCAGGATGAAAGTCTTCAAGCTTGGCTAGATCATCATCAAGTTGGGCCACTTGCAGATCACGAAATGGGTCTGATGTGCTTGCACTGGATTTTTTTTACAGCTGCAGCTTTTTGAGGCCCAGAGGAGCCTGTGGCTCCTTCTGTATGCTGTTGACGAGAGGTTTACGTCTGCTGCGGCTGAGGTTGCTTGGTGCGAGTTTGTATCGGAGCAGAAGCAGTCCTCTGTTGTTGTAGAGGTTTGCTCGGTGGCTGAGTCGGCTTAGCTTGCTTGCGAATATCGCGAGCTGGTGCAAAACGGCCAAAACTTGATTGAAAAGTTTGCTGTGGAAGCGGATGTGGAAGGGGTGGTGGGTGTGGGTGGAAGTGTGGCTGCCAGGGCTGCCATGCACCTGGTGGGTAATGTGTATTGGGTTTGTGTTTGTGTTTGCGTTTGCGTTTGCGTTTGTGTTTGTGTTTGTGTTTGTGTTTGTGTTTGTGTTTGTGTGTGTGTGTGCGTGTGCGTGTGTGCGTATGTCTGTGTGAGAGAGCCCTGTCAGCCAAGGGTGCATGCAAGTCTGAGAGACTGCTCTTTCAGCATGGAGGCAGTGATCCACTGCCCAACCAAGACCGTGATACAGGTGCTGTGAAGCTGTCTGGGACGCCAGATTGTGTTCTTGCAGTGGGCACATGATTAGAGGTCTGTACAAAATTTGCTGAGCAGTCTTGACTTGGAAACTCACGACATTTTTAGATTTGAGCACAGGTGTGTTCAGGTGAGAGGACCTCATAGGAGATCTGCACACGTGTGCGTGTGCGTGTCTCAAGAGTGCGTGTGCAAGCGTGGATCACCGTGTGCTGGGTCCTTCTGCTCTGTGATGAGGCGGTAGACCTGCGGTGTTCTTGTCCGCTGGGATATACTGAGCCGCTCAGCAGCTCAGCGCCACACCTCGATGCTGAACTCCTCCTCGCCTTTCTTCGTGATGTCTCCGGCCTCCATGACTTCCATGACTGAGACTCCAGCACGGTCCACCTTTGCGCTCGCATAGCTCTTGCCTTGTCCTTGGCCTCAGCCAAAATGAAGTCCTGTGAAGCAGTCTGCTCGAGGTCTTCACAAACTCCGAATTTTTTTTGCATGTCCTTCATCTGCTCAATCTGTTTTTGTGCTTCCTGCAAGCATTCATACGGTGACGAATCCCTGACATCCACGAAAAACATTAGTGCCACTTTTCCGGCCTTGGCATCCATGGCTGAGCAGTCGAGATACTACCTCGGAGACCTTTTGCAGTTCCGACCAGGGAGGACCCTTGGCAGCCGCGGCGGTTGGGCTTGAGCCGGCTTTGGTCACATTGCGAACACGCCCATGCAAGCCCCAAGAATTTCATAGGGATCTGTGAAGACCACATCGAACGACCAGGCCTCAGGAGCACGCCGGTGCCCTCGGCTCCTGCGCAACGAAAGCCCGCAGCCCTTTCTGCGAGAGCAACGCCATCGCTTCCGCTCCGGCTGCGACGACGCATCCGCTCCGCTCCCTCCTGACAAGCTGACTTAGAGCTGAGAAAAGTCGAGCAGGGCCACGGGGATGTCGGCAGAGGGCCGGTTAAGCTCGATGAGGCTCCTGTCGTTTTCGAGTGTCCGAGCCTCGGCTTAGACTTTGGGGATTGAGTCGACTTCAAGCTTTCTCAAGTTCCTGGGCTTCATGCGCTCAGGGCTCCGCGCGCGCCGCGGTGGCTCGTCCTAGCATGAAGCCCAGCTTGCCGCTGGTTCCAGCAATCTCCGGCGGGGGCCTCTTGCATCTTTTGGGCGCTGGGCTTCCCGTCCTTTGACCATCTTTGCAGCGCTTCGAAGCCTACGAGTATGTAACAGCCCTTCGTGCTCGCCTCTCAGGGCCGCACACGGCCTGGACCCGACCCGGTGTTGCCGCCCTTCTGGATCTCGGCCTGGGCCACCACAGGCCACCACAGGCCACCACCCACAGCTTTGATCTGGTCGACTCGAAGCGTGTCTCAGTCGGCCACCATCTTCACCTTCAGCACCATCCCTTTCAGCTTCCGGCCGGTGACCCCTCTCTGCCTTCAGCCGCTGACTGTTGGCTTCAGTTTGCCATGATGCAAGCTCCATTAGCCACAAGTCTACATGTGGCGTTCGAGACATCTGGGTTCCCGCGACGCGTCGGCAGCATCCAAAGCGCTGTCAAACCTTCCAGGTGCTCGGACAAATACTGACTAAGTACAACGGCGACCCTAATTCTCAGGCCAAGGCTCCACGAATGCAACACCCTTTGCAGTCAAGGGCAGCTCGATGTCCTCAGGGAGAAGGAGCTTTATCAGCATAAGGACCGACAACAGGTCCACAGCGACTCGGCTTACACGGGCCGGAGTCCGTGACGTGACCAAACTCGCCAAACTCGCGCTGAAGATCGGTCCTGCCGGGGAAGAATCGTGTGAAGACTGCGGCTGTGCACATGCGCAGATCCAAAAGCGACTGAGGCATGGACTTCATCACGCCACCGGCGATGCCGGAAACGAAGAGCCTCGGCTGCAGATCTCGCGAAATTTGAGTAGCGAGTCTCTGGAACTTCGAGTCCGCCTCTTTCCATTTGCTGATGCCTGGGCTCGCCTTGCGACCTCGCAGGCGCAGTTTCTTGCGTGACTCTTCTCTCTGCCCAGGGCTCCAAGAAAGCAAACACACAGACACACACACACACACATACACACAGCCTCCATCAGCACAGAAACCTGCACGGTTGAGGAGGTCAACAAACACTTTCCAACGAGACTTTACAAGGGGGCGGGGTAGCTTGCCTGCACATTTCAGAGCCTGTAAACTTCATGGTGCTGCGGCCGTTTCCGCCATTTAAGCAGCGCCGAGAAATCCATGGTCGTTTACACAGCTTGACCATTGGGTCTTGAGGGAGGGATGGATCGGTCGTGCCACGTCGGTTTTTGCATCTCGGGCCTTAACGGTTATGGCAAAGCGACTTGCGGCGAGATATTGATAGCATAACTGTGGGAGGGTGGGGCGCTCTTCCATAAAGCTGCCGCTGTGAGCAGAAATCGATCGCGGCATAAGGATCGTTGGCAGGACCAACATGCTGGACACATCTGCAAGCACGAAGACTGCTAAAGAAAACGTACAGTAACTGATTGAGGAGCAGACCTCCGGAAGATGGTCCAGACTTCTCATGCGGTCCACGCCATCCAGCACAAGAAGCGTCACCCTGAGAAGGCACACCTGCGCAGGTGCAAAGGCACCAAAATAGGCGCTAAGTGGCTTCCCAAGGACCTGGTATTTGCTGGCAAGGTCGTGGATCCTTTTCGGTGTGCCAATGACGATGTGCGATCCTGGGCTCGGTTGAACCGAGTGAAGTAACAAAGCCCAACGTTGCCGTGCACTGGCATCTGCAAAGCAACCGGATCAACATGGTGACTTTATCCATGCGACGTGTTACACAACGCTGGGACGTGCTGTCTCGCTTGCTTGTCAGATTGCCACAATACTGCATGTAGACAGCACTGCTAGTCTTGGTGCCACAGGCGCCCACCGTCCAATCCGGATGACACGTTCTACTCATCCTTTGCTGCAGGAACGGAGGAAAAGCATCCCCCTACTGTATCCTAGTGATCCGCTGCAGGCTCCGATGGCACAGCCAAGTAGTCACCCTGTGCCCCCGGTATGTCGAATGCCTTGATGGCTTGCAAGCGACACTCCTAACCGTTTGGAGCGACCCTTTGTCCCATGATGGTTGGGCTGCCACTGCCGGGCTGGAGGCATCAGTGGGGACCTGAGGCATCGGTGAACTACTCGGGGGGTCTAGGGAAGCACTAGAACCCCTATCTCACGAACAGCTCTCGAGGTTGTGTGAACCGTTGCTCCTCATGAAATGACAGCATTGCCCTTCGTGATTGCAGGGTGCATGTACCCTGGCAAAAGACAAGTAACGTCTTTTCGTCGATGTCATGCTACGTCAGACTACGCCAGAACATTTGTCTGATTATCGGCGTGCTGAGGTTAGTGTATGGAACATAGCAAGTTTTCGCACCATCATTGTCGATCCCGGCGTGCGGCTGAGCTGTCCGTGTGCCCGCGGGTGAAACATGAGCAGCAGCGGCCAACCAGCAAGATAAGACATGTCTGGAGTATAAGTAAAACATCCACTGCCAGCGGAATCGTACTGTTACGTGGCATTGTGAATTGTGAGAGAACGGTGCCTGGACCTGTTGCACTGGTGGGAGGCAATCAAGGGGGGTGGCAAAGAACGGCGAATAGTGAAGGTGATTGAGGCGAGCGGGTATCAACTGTTCACATCAGATTGGCATACTCACCGACCGCCCGCGATTTTACCCACGGGGCACCGTGACGGAAAGCCAGGGTAGCACATCCACAAACTGATTAGCATAGTAACTTCCCCAGTCTACATGATGCCAGAATAACGCTTTCTTTGTTCCTCATCCTGTTCTGCAGGAACGCAGGAAGCGTCCGTTCCCGTATCCTGAGCCTGGTGATCTGCCGCCGGCTTCGGCGCAAGCAATCCAGCCGCTCAGATCCCTCAATCAGGCTTTTCTTTCCATCTTTGCACGGCATTCCGAATGGCAAATCTTGACTGTGGTTTGCTGTGCTCCTGCCACCGCCGAGCCCAATCATTCAACTAAGGCTGGATCCACACGATGTCATCTCGCGCAGTTTGTCGGCACGCGACTGCCAGGTCGCTAAAGAGGGCACCATGCACGTAGTTTGCTTTCAGACGTTCAATCAACTTCGCAAGCTTATTGCCAAGTGGCACCACCACCTGATAGGTTCACAGCACGCAAAGTCTTCCCACCACGGCCTTCCAAGATAGCGAGAGCGCCCTTTAGCAATGCAGCTTGCAGGCTGGAAGTCAAAACCATCTACTCGCCTGATGACCGGAGCAAGCCCATGGCACAAGTCGCGACAGAAGCTGCAGAGTCCTGCATCTCGATTGCAACCCCTTTCAGGGCAAGGGGATCCCAACAGAAGCAGATGCTGCGAGAGGTCTCGCGGGTGGGCTCTTGGTACCTTTCGCTTCACTCGGGAAGCTTTGTTCACGTGATGCCTGGGTATTCCGCTGTTTTAAACATCAGAAGTTGTTCCTCATACTGCTGTACACTCACAGCCTTTATGTGCTTCATGAGCGATGGAGCACTCGTCAGGCAAAAAGTCAATTTCGCAGCTTCTGAATCGGATGGCAGAAGTGGACGCAGGTGACAAGCCGAGCCCTCCCTGCGTTCTTTGCTCCCCAACTTCTCGCTTCCGGTCCCCGGAGACTCGCAGTTGGAGGAGGCGGTGACGAGGGCATTGGCACTTGAAGGACATCAAAGACATGGCATGGACTTCGATCCCGTGGACTGAGGCCATCTGGGGACTCGAGCTGCTGAGCATGTCGGTTCTTCACTCCCACATCTTTATCCAGCGTATGCACATAACCACTTAAAGACTTCCACTCGCTTCCCGCTTCATCCCGTTTTTCGACACGTTCGTCCTGTGTCGCTGTGAGGACCAGGGCGATGGGGCCTGGCTCCTGCCCGGCATGCGATAGGACTCGCCTTTTTTAAGGCAAAGTGAAGGAGGCCTGGCCTCCTCGCTGAGCTTGTGCTGGTCGCCGGCCTTCTGCATGCCCGCACAGGCGCTCACCTATGGCAGGCCTGGAGAGGACCACCTGCATGGCCGCCATCACCAAGTAGGAAAGAGCCTGACCAAGATCCAGCCAAACGAATGCCAAGGGTTCTGGTGGCGCACATGGATGATTCGCAACACAAAGCACCGTGCAATCCACAAACCTCCTGGCCAGCAGGGATGTCGCTTGCCACAGCAACGGCATTTGAGCCTGCAGCATGCACGAGTGTGTTAACATCCGCAGCTCCAGCACTCCAGCAAGGGGAGTTCTGGAAAATATGTGGCCACCGCAAGACGTCTCGATAGGTCAGTTGCTCCGAACCAAAACCCCCCGCTGAGCTCTTCCCATCATGAAGCCTGCCAGCACGATGGGAAGCAGCTGTGCCTCTGAAGAATCATCGCATGTCGTTTCTTGTGTGACCTTCTTCACTTACCACTGCATGAGAAACAGCCACAGTCCCGAGACACTGCTATGCTGCACGTTGCACCTGAAGCGGGCTGGGCGGCTGGTTCTGCAACGCCTTCGAACCCACTGTTGATGCCGCAGCATCATGTGTGCCAACAAGCAACAACAAGTGATTTCGACCAGGCGAGGGCATAGGCTCTAGGATATCCGGCAGCATCGATCTTGCTCAAAAGCAAGCCCTGTCTCTCAGTGGCACTGAAGCGGCCTGCAGCAGCCACTCAGGTAGAGTATCCTTCAGGTCCCGGAAGTTCTGCAGTGGTGGCACAGTGGTATCCTCCAAACACTCAGCAGCCTGCACTGCTCTAAACAGCGAAGAAGGCCTCCCCGGCAGGATCTTCTATGGACTCGATTCCGAGGCTCCGTCGCCTGGTGGTGCACGGCAGGATGCAAGGCGCCTTTAAATGCATGTACAACAGACCTACCCACTGCCCCACAGGCAGCTATCTTTTTGCAGGCAATTTCCGCTATTAACCAGGTGTAGAAGCAGGCAGGCTGCTGTGAAACAATGCTATAGACTATAGATCCTAGATGAAACAACCCTTCCTTTGTCCAGGGGCACAAGGCATCAATCCAACACTGCAAGAGAGTGACCTTTGCCAGCTCCCTCAAAGAAATAGATCAGCGCTAAGACGATGTACGTCACTAACAGCATCAGCCCCTCCAGCCAATTCGACGTGCCATTGCTGAGAATGGTTGAAGCCAGGAAAACTGATATGAAGAGCACAGCAACCTGAAAGGAGTGGAAATCCAAGGACATCTCCCTATCGAAGGCCCATCCTACGAGCACGCTGAATGGCGTTACCAAAAGGGCCATCTGGCATGAGGACCCTGCAGCAACTCCAAGGGCAAGGTCCATCTTGTTCCGCATGGCCACTGTGATGGCCGTGTAGTGCTCCGCAGCATTCCCAATAATAGGAAGCAGTATAATTCCGATGAACTCCTGAGAGAGGTCATATTTTTCCACAGTGCCTTCGATGGAATCGATTAAGAAATCTGTCGAATATGATGTCACTACGGTTGCCACCGCCAGCACGACAGCCGCGAAACCCGGTGTCAGATCCGGCACCTCCTCTTCCTCCTCGCCAGAAAGGTCTTCGAAGAGTGCTTGGTGAGTTCCGAGCTGAAAATACAGGTATGCGGCATAAGTGACCAGGAGAAAAACAGAGGACCAGCGAGATACCTGCAGCATGTGCTCGAACTCTTGTGTTTCTTCCAGAATTTTCGCATACAGCGTTGGGAGGGCTATGGAGAAAACGCTCAGTGCGAGCAGAGTGCACTGAGTTGAAGCACCTTGTTGAGAGTATTTCTGCGTCGCGTAGAACCATCCGCCGAGCAGAAAGGCGCATCCCATTACCAACAGCAAGTTGCTGAGAATTGATCCCAAAAGAGTGCACTGAACCACGACGACCTGGTTCCTTCGAATGCCCGCGATAACAAGAAGCATCTCAACCAGGTTTCCAAACGAGGCATTTAGCAGGCCGCCCATCGTCTGACCGACGGCGGCAGACAGATCCTCGGTGGACTTGCCGATGATCCATGCTAGTGGAATGATGGCCATGAAGTTGCATCCGAAGACATAGGATGGTTGAAGCCCCAGTGCATGGGAAGTAAACCCCAGCGGCACGAAGCACACCAGGAGAAGAGACAGTATGGGATTTGTCTGGACAATGTTCAAGATTCCTTGACTGCAGGGCAGAAGCCACTAGCAGCACTGGCAGGTGCACCACTATCACTACTTAGCAAAAAAGGCTGACATAGCCAGGTTGCCACGAAGATTGCTTGGCGATGTGTCCAAGTCACTATCTTGCGCACGAGCGATTTCAGCCATGGCACATAGGCGGAGGCATTGATGCTGCAAAAACTTCCTTCCACTGCAAGCTCATCCGAACTCTCAGGTGTGTGGCATATTAGGTCTTACCTCGCTGCCCATAGTAGCGACACTGCTGTAACTCAAGACATGATCAATAAGTTTGGGCCAGGGTAAAGACGCCAGCCGAAGACCCTTCTGGACCAAGGGAACCCGCGAACTGATCGCATCTTGGCTGGACTTGTTGAAATGCTTCTTGGCAGGACTGATCACTTGAATGTGAGCTTGCAAAAAAACAATCTACAGAGTTTCTTTGGTGTTCCATTCGGGGGTTGCACAGCTGCACTTCGCTGCTTCCCTTTCTCTTGGTGCAACATCCGCCTCTTGGCGACCTTGGCTACGCCTCCAGAACTCTCCACCTCGGATGCTGCCAAACTCAGCTCAGAAGCTACCAGCTGATACCGAGCACAGCACCGCGTCCGGATCAAAGGGGAGGAAGGATCTCTTGAACCTGCCAAGTCGGCAAGAGGATCCGGCTAAGCAACACGAACCAAGGCGTTAAGTACTCGGAGTTTCTTGTAAGTGCACATGAAGGCGCACGGGCGCCGTGGCTGCTGTCGCCAGTCCAGCACATCCCAGTTTTCCACCTCTCGACGGGTTCGCAGAGACCACAAGACCCATGCTACAACGACGTTGCCACTCCTTGAGCTTGGAGGCCATGAGAGCTCCATATGTTGCTTCCAGGCTTTCGCTCAGATGCAGCCGGGTGTTAACGCGGTCCTACTAATTTTGCCGTGGTGTCTCATGATGTCTTATGTCGGATCGAAACAGATGTCAAAAATCTGTGCGTTGCAGACTGTGCTTGACGACATGGCGGCGGAAACTCCCACCCTGCATTCGGGGTGCCGGATCTTAACCTGAAAACGAGGGTGTCTGCCGCACAAAGCCAGCGAGACCCTGCTAGGATCAGCTTCTCCAACGAGATGCTGTCTCCCAGACCCTGGCAGACCAGTGCAATAGGGAAAGGCACGACGACACCATTGCATCGCTCCTAGCTCTGGTAGTTGGTATCGTGCACTAATGCAAAGACTTTTCTTACAAGGCCACTGCTCACATCCCGCTTGGCCTGCGAAAAAATCTTCATGCAATCGTCATGGAGCTTGTTTCCTGGATGCGATTACACTCCATAGGATGAATAGAAGAAATCTCTCTTGTTGCCACCTCTGAGCTCAAGGATCCGCAAAGCTGTACATCGGCTGCTGCCGTAGGGGACCTCGCCATGAAGGCCACGCTTACAGGCAGAGGGATGCGTTGCACACACAGAAACACGAACTGCAATGCTAATTCCAGATCCCCTACTGCGGATCCGGCCTTTCCACTCAGCATGGCTCTTTGGCTGAGCACCGCCTCATCATCTGGAGCAAATTTATTCTCTAACGTGGCACCGACACTCACTTCACAGTGCCCGGCCTTCAGAGCTTCTGCTGTCAAAATTCCACATCCTGATTCGTTCATCGCCAAGCGCTGCAAGCGATCTGTCTCAGAGTCCTTCACAGCCTGCAAATGTGGTTCACGGTCGCACCAGCAGCTAGCACTTTAGCCGAATCCTTTGCTTAGGACTGCTGCTCTAGTACGCACATAATACATACATACGTACATACATACGTACATACAGACAGACAGACAGACAGACAGACAGACAGACAGACAGACAGACGGACATGCATACATTTTCAAATTTCGACCACGGCGTTCAAACCAATGTTTCCCGTTGTTTCCTCGAGAAATGCACAAACATCCGGAAACCGCCCTTTCCACAAGAACAGAACACAAGGTCAACCCGGGAACCCAAAAACCATCCGTTTGTAGCGTACGGGGAGGTATCGCCATGCGAAGCGGACCGCCCGGCGGTCTTCCTCAGAAGTCACCCAGCCCCGGCCGCCGCACCTTGTATCGCGACCCCGATTGGTGGAACCCCGCCCGCATGCCACGCCGCACCGTGTATCGATACCACATGATACCACTGCTCGGTTCTCCCGATAAAGCGCTACCATGTGTTACAGTTCACTCTCCCACGCTTCGGTAGATGGAACCCTGCCCGGGCCCGCGCCGCACGCCGTATCGCGAGGCCGCCCGATAGAACCCTGCCCTGGCCAGAATCCGACGCCGCACCCCGTGTCGACATATCGCGACCAATCGGCGGAACCCCAGCATATCGGTGCAATGCTGTGCCGCACCCCATATCGCGACCGGCCCGGTGGAACCTCATGCCGCACCCCACATCGCGGCCCGCTCGTTGGACACCGAAGACTATAAACGCTCTTTTTCCGGTTGGAAAATCTTAAGAAGAATCCAACCCATGGTTTTTGGGAAAAACGTAACTTGTTGGCATGCAACGTTGTTCGTGCTTTGAAATACCACATGTTTGATCAACATGAAGAAAACCACTCGCAAACAGTTGACCTGCACAAACTCAAGACTTGCAGAGACCGACATTGGCGCCACTTACTCGGCCTTCATGAAGCAACTTGGACAGATAACATCGTCCTTGACATCGGACGTCTCACAACATGTGGATGTCGTAGAAAGTGTGGGAGCACAGCTGAGCACAGACCCCAAGCCGTGAAAGAGCACGTTGAGTCCAAGTGCTGCAAAAGAAACCCAAGAACCATTCCAGGAGTGGGAGCATGACTGTGGCAACCAAAACGCGGCAGGTGGAAATGCAGTGAGCTGTGAACTCCGCATCCCCATGGACGTGGCCGACGTAGGACAGTGGAAAGACTGTGATTTTTGTGGAACTTGTGTACCTCGCAACAGCAGGAGCTCGGAGCCCCCGCATCCGAAGGAGTTTCAGCAACAGAATTCGTTTGCACTGAAAGTATTGCCGCTGAGACCAACATGTTGAGTTGCAGAAATATGGTTCAAATGCATCATTCTTCGCTGAGCAGTCACGCACTATTTCTTGCTCCGACCGCAACATGAGGAAGGTCGAACAGTCTCAAATCAAACAGATCCTAAAAGCGTAATCAATCGATACAGCAACGGCACGACAGCATGTCCCTTATAGGCCTTCTAAATCCGAAATCTGATACGTAAATTCCGTCACGGATTCTTCTTTCCTTTCGCGGACCCATCGCGAATCTTGCACAGACACACTAGTTTACATCTTGGAACCGTTTTGGATAAATCCGAAGACGAGGACCTTTAGATCAACGCTCATACATATGGCACGTGTGCAAGCAGAAAAGAGCAAGGGAGCAACGACGCTGCATCACAGCTGGCAGTATGCGTGGGCGTGTAGCAGCTTATCAGAGCGCCACGGGACCATGATATCGGATCAGGCCGAAGAAGCCGTTGCCCTTTCCCAAAGACACCCCAAAGATTTGCTGGGTTTGTGGCGGGAGTGGAAAGCATGCAATTTGAGTCGAATATGTCCTCCGTCCTCCCACCGCTCGTGCGAACAGGCCTCATTACACTTTAAGTACTAAACCCATAGTGTTACCGCAGTGTTTCGGAAAAAACACGCTTGCTGAGACCATTGGCCGCTTTGAAGTTAGGCTTCTTCGGCTGGGACATTCAGGCGGGCTTTAGTGGTTGGCATGTTGAAGCTGCACCTGTGACATCAGCAAAGCTGATGTCCCCCTTTGCAGAAGCCAACATCCGAGGATGATTTCACGGGACTTCAGCTCAACAAGGCAGCAGCGCCTCGACAATGATTTTGGCACGATCATCATCGAGTCGATTTTCACTGCAGTCCACATCTTTCAATCCTGGAGCTTTCCGGAGGCACCTGAGCTGAATGTGTCTTGGTGCAGTTAATTGCATGCTGACGGCTGTATGCGGCCGAACTCACTAGACATCTCTCGTGCAACTCTTGTAAGCAACATGCTCCACCATCTCTGGGGTGACCAGATTGGCAGTGTATTCGAAACCTGATGCTTTTGCACATTCGGGCCCTGTCCCCTCCCTCATGCTTGTACGCTACAGACGCACAGATACGATCGGTAGAGAGCCTGCAAGCACCGCTAGTCTGGAGATGTTGAGCACCTCCCACTTTTTTGAACCTCGGGGAGGCTCGCTTATTCCGTGAAGGAGGGCTAAAGTATGCTAAGGTGCGATTTTGGCCGGTGCACTGTTGCTGCTGACTGTAAGCCCGCCGCTTTTGACAACGGAAAAGAGCGCTGTCACATCCACCACACCTGCGGTAAAACAAAAGACAAACAGTCCAAAGACTCGTCGAGCATGTATGCACCAGTGCAACGGCCTATCGGATTTCTGCCCACGTCGAGCTCCACGATCCATTCATGGCATTTCAAGAGCTTTTGCAGACCTTGCAAGATTTTCGTCTGTTTGTTTGCAGAGTGACGAATGTTTGTGTTCCACCATTTTAGGCCAGGCTCAGGCTGAGACCATCTTTCGTACATCCGACATTTCGCAGTCGAAGGCAAACCTGTCAGAATCCACCAAGTAGCTCGCGGCAGACCGCTCGACGCCTACACAAGCTGGCAACAGACAAATTTGCAAGCTCAGGCCGCCACGCTCCTCACAACATTTTGGGCGATAGCCTGCAAGCTATATGCATGAACAGCATGTTGTCGCGCCGATTGCCGCTACTACTACTGGCTTGCACAAACACGGTTTGTGCATTAAGGCTCAATATGTACGTTGCGAATGCTGAAGCATAACGTGCTGAAGAACTTACGTTCACAATAGATGTAGAACACTCATGATGTCAATGCCGACCAGAACACCAATCGCAATACTTGCAATAATGACAACAAAACGATTACTGGTGTCACGGTATGATGTGTTCAAAGCGAACCTCATTTAAGCGGCAGGTGTACTAGTAGCACTAGCAGCAGCCGTAGCGGCGACAGTGACAGTAGCAGCAGTAGTAGCACTAGTACTACTACTACTACTACTACTACTACTACGACTACTACTACTACCACTACTAACACGACAATGCCGCTAGTACTACCGGCTGGCTGCTGCGGCTGCTTTTGGCGAGCATGACCAACAAGTTTCCAGCCCAGCCGGCCTCCACTCCAGAATCCTTGGTCGAGACAGGGACAGTTCACTCGGGCCGACAGCCAATTGCGGACTTGCATGTCAACTCCGGCCTCTAATGCATTGTGCGAAAGATCCAGCACAGGCACAAAAGCACCTGGCTCAACACTTGCAGTCTGACTGGAGACCTACCGCACGAGCACCGCTGGTCGACGCAAGACGAGCAAGCATGACGCCAATAAAGTCACACGACATGATTCAAAGGGGGGTGTTTCATATGATTATGTGCGCAGCGGCCACGCAATCGACGTGTTTGGCCAAGCTCCGATGCAGTCCTGCACCTGAAGCGGCGCTTCTGCAACTGTGCTGCTCGATCACACGTTCCTGCCAGGAGAAATCTCGGGGCCCTGACCTGCAAGCCTGTCTCGACATGAACACAGAACATGGGGAAGCAGCAGGCTTTTTTCCATGGATCCATGGGGACCGGTTCACTGGAGTGAAGGAGGACGGTCACCAAGGAGTCTCCGGCCACAGGAGCACAGAGCTGGTGCGCAAGCTTTACAAGCACAGCAGTCAAGCACGCATGCCTCGTTACTGGACATGCCGCTGACCCCCAAGCGGAGGGATTGAATGACTTGGTACAAGCAGATCACAGATGCACAAGCAATTTCATTGTTATTTTCACTTGCTGTCGACATAGAAACAGTCTATCAATCCCCACACACTTGAGATTGAACCCAGCAGCACTGAGTTCAACAAAAGCCAAACAGGTGAGTCCTCCTTCTATGTGATGGTGAAAAGCGCGACATCTCAAAATCCGAATCACCGAATAGCTTACTAGCAGCAGCGTATTATGTCTGGCCAGATATTTCACTCGCGTTTAATGCCCTGCACCCCAGACGCAAAAGGTCGGGAATTTGTGTGATGGGCTGCTCAACCATGCCTGCAAAGCGCAGAGCAGGTAGTTGATGCTAGGCCCTCAGATAGACGGTGCTAGCTTGCTCCTGCCCGGAACTGGTCTACACCCATCCGAACATTCTGAAATGGCAAGAGCAAGAGAGCAGTGTGCATGACTATAGTCCCAGCTTCGGGACAGGCCTGTTCCAGCCGTTTCGTGAACTTTGTGTCAACATCTACTGCTAATTTCGTTCTCATCTTGAGGTAAGTGAGACTGCTCTGGCATGTGCAACACAATTGCCACCGGGTGGTTGTCACGCCGGAGACAACTGAGGAATCTCTCATACCTCGGTATGCTCTCTGTCGCATCCAACTGCGCGACTGCACTCTGGAGACACTATGATTATGAGAAAGGCCAAGGCACGCTGCATATCCAGAAAACCCTCTCAGCGTGCAGAGACTGGACGTTGTCTACTTCTTGTCGCGAAGACGGAGGGAGGACAGGTCCACGTACACGGCGATCGGGCAAGGAGCTCGGCCCTGCGATCTTTTCTGCTCTGAGTCTCTCTCCTTCTTCTTTGCCTGGCTCTGCGATGGAGCGCGGGATTGTAGCAGGGTTGGTCCCATCCCACACATCGGTGGCTGCAAGCCAGGTGAAACTGGTGCGACTGGCACACCACTTTGCATATTCTGAGGATGTAGCATGAATGGAGCTGCCATCCCTGGCTGCATGCACATCGGCGCATGCGGCGCATGCGGCGCATGCGGCGCATGCATGATTGGAGCTCTCTGTGCCTGTGAAGCTCTCTGCTGCTCTTGCGTCGGCGGCAGGGCATCCTGGCCCTGGCCTACCGGACGTCCATCAGAGCCCATTGCTCCGGAGCCGCTGTTGAAGAAGGATGCGGGGCCATCAAAGTACGCCGCCATTGGCGAGAGAACGGAGCTTGCAGCTGGAACTGCCGGATTGAAGTTGCCACAGTTGCGACCTTCTGGGTTGAAGAAAGCCTCGGCACCAGACACAGCATGGGCATCTGGGGACTTGTGGCGTGCAGCCGTATGCACACAATTCCGTGCACATTCTCACATGTATCTTGTCCGTGCAGCATCAGAGGGTGACGGTGGCTGTGCTGGAGGTGCCTGTGGGTCATCTCGAGTACGAATCGGCAAAGAAATCCTGGCAGCGGCCACCCTGACTATGACTATGAGTTTTGGAATGGACATGCACTTTCGACTCAAGGGCAACCGGCGTCCTTTGCTGCATGAATGCTAGCTCAGGGTGGCGGGAGCAAGCGGATAGAAAACAACTGCTTTGAAAGGACGCGCTTCACCAAGGGCAAGATGCTTGCAAGGCTGCCGGCTGCCAGACAAATAAATCTCTGCGGATAGCACAGGAGCTACGGCCTCGCCGTTGGCGTCCCACTGGCCCATGAAGGCGCTCGCGACGTGACCGACTGAGTCGGCCGTCAGGCGAGTACCTCAGAAAGGTTCCGCTGGCACAGACAAGCAAAGCGAAGCGCACACCTCGAGCACCGGGGCAAAGACCACTCAGATCCAAAAACCTGACTGCACAAGCTGCGTCCTGAAGCCAGATGCCGTCACCGAATCCAACTCGTTGCAAAACCCGCCCACACGCACGGACCTGCTTTCGGATTTGCATGTAGCAAGCCAAAGACTCGGCACCTCGGAAAGGAACAAGCGAGCACATGAAGAAGATTAGCAGAAGACGCAGGATGACAGGCTTGCTGAGCTTGCTGTCATGCAGGCATGCAGGCTCATGAACTTGCTTGGTTCATTGCATTGGCACAAGCGAAGAGTAAGCAGTAAGAATGGTCTGTTGACCAATGCCTCCGATGGACAAGAGTGTAATAAACACAGATTAGACCGCTGGATTTCCTCACTGATTTTTTCCAGTTCTGGTTGTCGCACCAACATGGTACCCAATTGAACTTGTCTCGCCTGCAATAGCAACTGCAACTGTCGATGGAGGATGCTTTGTTGTAGCAAAAGCTTCCATTGATACGGCTTGCGTCTGCCTCGCTGATGTACCGCACCATGTGTTTGCTAAGACCCTGCACCTCTGTTTGTACTGAATCAGTTTGCCATTTGAAGCATGGCTCGGCTTGATGATCCAAGTAAGAGCTCCAGCGAAGAAGCGCGGAAAGATTCTACGAATAAGAAATAAAAGACAGTGCATTTAATCTGGTTCTGGCCGGGTGCCTTGTTCAGTTCCGAAACGAAAGAAATAGGTGCACTTGCGCGTGAGCACGGGAGCGCCAGTGAGCGAAGGAGAGAAGCAGCAAAAGAGCGAGTAAGACGAGCGGAGCGGAGCGGAGGGAACGAGCGAGTGAACGAACTGGTGACACCCCCAGCGAAAACTTAAAGAGGCAGGCACCACAACACAAGGACCAACAACGCCACCCTGACGCAACCACGATGCAATGACGAACAACAAGGCCTCGATTCAGCACGGGGCACCCGCCGAGCAAAGTATTGTTCGGCCGGCGGCATAAGGGCAAAACAAAGTGCAACCTCGCGATAACTTCCCTCCCACAGGTCCTCACCGGACCCACCCCACCCCGACCCCTCCCCTCTGCAGGGCCCTCGTGCTGGGCTTCCCAACTCAGGACAACCAGCCCATACCCAGACCTAACCATCCGTGTGAGTTTTTCGAAACTGGATCGTGACTTTAACGATGACTTCAATGCTCCTGGATCTCGCCAGGTGAACGCGTAGAGCGCAGTGTGACTTGTTTTCACGCCTTTTTTCTTTCTGCAGACTGCCAGAAGAAGCTGGTGTGAACAACATACGGAACTCAGCCAGGCGCAGGGCGGCCAGAGTAATTTGGCAATAACATGCGATGAAGATGAAGTTGAAGGCTTGATGCTTCCAGGCTTGATACACTCCAAGACTCTGGCCATCATCTCCGATGGGATTGTTTGCGAGAACCAAGGTGTGTAGGTGCCTCACACAGTTCAATTCTGCTCACAGTCTAGATGCGGGGCAGCTGCTGAAGGAACCGACAATGCCTGCACTGGAAAATGAAGACACTCAGCCTTGTGGACCGCACTTCAAGCTGCTGGTGCAAAGGGGCGACGGAGCAGCTGAGAAAGAAACAGCTGTGTAACTTCGGACTTCACCTTCTTGGACACTAACTCGATCTGCTCGCACCTGCAGATAGGAAGCAGTGGCTTTTTACAAGAGCTCGCACAGAACGAGTTTGCCGCCTCTTCTTTAAGCTCTTGTCCTCAATCCACTTTTGTACAGTCTCGAGGCCAAGGGCCTTACGGGACTGAGCGGCAGGAACCGCTTGCAAGCCTAGCGGCCGGAAGCCTCGCCATCGTAACGCAGGGTGCTGTGAGTGTGCATGGCCCACCTGTACTGATGGCCACATTGTTCGATCGCAAGCAACATCTGTTCAAGCATAAGACTCTGACAACCCAAAGCAATCTTTGGGGATCAACCTCCAAAGACTCCGAGCCAGACGGCAAGGAAGCGCGCACAGATTCCTCTTGTGGCCCTCTCGATGTAGGAGCCCTTCCGCTCGGTGGATCCAGAAATGAGCCCAGAATCCACGAAGCTGCACCAGGTGTCTAGGCTGCTCAGCTGAACATCAAAGACAAGAAGTGCAAGAACAGAAGCAAGCACGGCACGGTTGCGCATGCCTTTAGGAATGTGAACCCTTGAAGGAGATTCTAGCATATCAGAGGGATTATTCCAAAAACAAAACTTGCTCATGGCCAGCTGGGCCATGAAATCCAGAAACCTTTTCACATGCTTCCTTAGCCTGTTCAGGGAGATACTGGTGCTTTGCACCGGTGTCTGGGAGATCCATCTCGTCAACTAAAGTAACTAAAGGATACGTTTAAACACTTCGGCCACACTGCTGGCTGATGTCTTACAGGACCTCTGCACGAACCACAGGCAGCCGTCCCATGAACCAGCACAGTGTGAGACTGCAAAGCTACTTCGTGAGCTCTGACTCCCAAGGATATTAATTTCAAGATCCATGAAAGACGCCCTGCCAATCATCGCAATTCCACGTCCTGGACAAGCCCGGTTAGGCAAAGCTCCAGTGTCTTGGACTTTTTTTGGGGGGGTTGGGGGGGAGCCTGCCTTCGCTTGTGGCTGGCCCCTGGCATTCAGAAAGGCCCTGAAGGCCACCACCTGGCCGGGGCCAGGGCCAGGGCCAGCCTGAGGCGGCGAGCACGACACACACACCCCCGCCCCCCGCCCCCCGCCCGCGCCCAGCCGGCCTCGCAGGTCGGTCTTTGGGCATCCTTGGCCAGCAGGAAGACGTCCTCCAAATATCCCAAGCTGGCCAGCTCCTGCGAAGTCTTCCAAAAGCAGCTGCGCCCCCCTCCCTCATGCAGCAAGGAGCCTACCAGTAACTGTTCAAGGCCACTGCGACATCAGGCAACGGACAAACATCAGCCCACAAGCCAGAGGACGCAGAGGCCTCGCTCACAATGAAGCCAAATCCTTTTTCGGCATTGAAGGCTTTGATCCTGGCACACTTACTACCACGGAGCACTTACCACAGCACCGCTGACGGCCCCTAATGTCTCCATCTGCTGCCCGGATCCTTCCCATGAAGTGTCCAAGCTCGGCAACAGCATCCTCTCACCAGGTGCGCCGGGCCCGACACTGGGCCCCACAAGATGAAAGCACGAAACAGAAAGCTGAAAGCTGATCGTGTTGAAGACACTAGCATCACCACAAAAAGCATGAATAGATCCGCATTTTTCACAGAACCCTGCCGAAACTCCTGCCACTTTCTCTTTGCGCTTGAAACCATCGTGTCTCCCCGATGGCCACAAAGGCCGCCTGCAAGTCAAGTGCGGTCTGCTGAGTCTTTCTGTCAGCTCCCGCATATTTCTTCAGATACTGATACTGACAGGCAGGTGGGTAAAGCATCTCGGCACGAGCATGGCCTGCATACGCCTCTCCAGGCAGCCCGACCATGCGGCCGGCACTCATCGATGCTGCCCACAGAGCTTCGCCATGACCACAGAAAATGGCGCTGTGGGCTGTCTGTGCCAGCCTTGTCGATGCGGGCAAGGACACGAGATGCGACGAGTGCAGATGTACTTGAGATCCCAGCACTCCATCCAACGGCTGAACGTCAAACCTTGACACTTTATTTGACCAAGGTCAGCCGTGATGCGTTACTTTCCTCCTCCTACATGTGTTTCAGCACCTGGACAAGGACCTGGCGCTTGCGGCTTGTTCTCCTGCCAAAGCAAGCTGCGTGCTGGTGCTGTCTAGTAGTGTCATGTTGTGCGACATGGCTGATATGCAGCAGCTGAATCCTTGCCCAACGCCACAGCAAAGGTCACCGGAATCCTTCATCTGCACAGCTTCTGTAATGCAGCCCTTCATGCTACTGTGTCAAGACGGAGTGTTTGGTCCCTGGTGCCAGCACGGCGGCATATGGTCTCATTTGCTTCGAGTGCCTTGGATGCTGACGCTACTCCGTGTCTGCCTGAATTCTGCATAGTGATGGAACAGCAATCGTCCCCTTCTGACTCAAGCTGAGTGACACGAAGATGTCCGTCTCGAAAACCTATCGGCCGGATGGAACTTCGCATCGGACACTCTCCGTCTCAGAAGCGGATCCTGCGGCACAGCCTCGTGAAGCTCCGGTGACACTATGAAGCCAAATCCGGTTTTCGTTGAAAACGACCTGCTCGAAGGAAAGAAACGTCAGCCTCCAAGGTCTGTGCCCGAGTAGGGGCCGGATCTGAGGCCGAGTCTTCAGGATGCCACAGGCCCGCTGCACCTCTGGCTGCGACGAGTCGCCCTCACCGGCACCGCGCATGCTTCCACGACTAGTGCCGTCCAGCATCGATGAGACCTTGAGCAGGTGCATAAGTCCTTGGTTCTCTGAGACTTCTTCACTGGTGCACATCGCTGATGGGGGACTCTGGGAAAGATTTGAGACCCGGCATCAACTTTAAGACACGAAGACCCGCCAAAAGGGTGATCTCTCAAGGAACAAGCGCAATGTCGCAACATGTCCGTTTGCCTTGAAGTAGGAATGCGGCATGCGAAGGATGCATGAGACCATAGATTGCACTTGGGTTCCGGACAAGTTCGGAGACGCGAATCCGACAATTGACCTCACAGTACTTACCATACTTCCGAGCTCACCTCGAGCGTCTCTTGCAAGGCCACGACGGTGCGACGAGGGGCCGGGCTTTCAGCACATCTCCGACCACCTTATCCCGTCAACACCAGATCTGGGCAGCTTCATAGAGGCTCATGGTTCCAGGCCCTTCTACGTAGGCCTCAGGTCTGTGCGCTGAGGGCCTCTTCCAGCGGCGCAGCCAGGAGAGCCTCCTCCAAAACCTGCCGAGGCAATCTCGCACTGTTCCGACAGGTACACGCACAAATTCCACGCGGCAGGCCTGGGGTTCCATCCTACAGCCACGATAGGCACAAACAGATAATCCTCCTCTGACACCTAGTTTTGAGCCAGAGCCTCAAGACGAGATCATGCAGGCAGCGAAGCTCAACACACTCAGCTTGAAAAAGCATTTTGCGGGTGCCAGTATTGCAGTCCAGCCGATGCGGACGTTGCATTGACAAAAGCGACGACATATCGAGATACCCTGCTTCGAGAGAATCTCGGAACGGCCTAGCCTGATCTGAAACAGCCGGAAAGCCTTGGGCGCCTCACGGGTGATATCAGGACGGGCCAAAATGCTCATGCCACACAGCTAAGCCCTAGGCCCAACGTCGCGTGACATGGGGCAGCAGCCATCGCAACCAGCCCTACACGAATCTACAGCACCGAATTCAGCATGGGCATGTGGTCTAGATCGAGTCACAGCAGCCCAGGCGTGTGCCATCGGGAGTCGGGCAGCAAGCGCCAGTGATGTTGAGCGCAACACATGAAGGAAAGGATGAGCATTCCGTCCCAGCCGCGATCTTCGGCGCAGCGACCACGGGTGGAAATCCCATGCAGCAACCAAGCGCCACATTATCATCGTTGGGGCAGCAATTGCCCTCCTCGATTCCGTGAGCAACACAGGCGGGGTACTTGGCACACGTCGTGCCGTTGATGCCTGGAACTATCAAGGGTGCCACAGTGGGAACTGGAGCAAGTGTAGGAGTCTCGACACTTGCTTTCTCCTCGTCACCTTCAATGTCAATGTCAACATCGGTTTCCACAGCTGCCGGCTTCTCCCCGCAGTATGGTGGTCCAGATACTGTCTCTGCATACTTCTCCGGGGCAGGTGATGCAACTGATGACGCATCTGTCAACAGGCAGCCCCCGTCCGGCCAGAAGGTGAAGTGCGCACACCCGTCAACGGAGAGGCAACGCTGTTGGCAAGCCTCCTGCGTCATCTCGTTGGTCCTTTCCGTTCCAGCCATCTTGATCGGGCTGCTGTAGTAGGTGGAAGCCTCGAAGCAGTCCGTGGCATCCAAGACCACGAAAGCACCGGACTTGCTGCGGAGGCCGCGGGTTCCGCCACGTGCCAGGACGCCAATCGTCACAAGCCCCACACAGCCCAGCGCCAAGGCCACACGCCGCGGAAAGGCGAAGCTGCGCTGCTCCGGGCGCTGGTCCTCCAGCAGGAGCTCCACGTCCGAACCGGTGCTGGCCATCACTGCGAGATGCAACGGGGGGAACGTCAAGAGGACGGCACTGGATCGGTCCTTAAGCACCTGCGGCCCCTGACAATGCTCAAGGCCAGCATTGGCTAGCATCTCTCATGCTTCCCAAACTGGTCCCCTGCTGCTCAATCGGCGCATGAACTTTTTCACTGACACGCTCCATCAGCGCCGTTCGAATGCAGAGTGTGCGCTAAACAGAAACTGTCTCGGAGCTCCCCGGCGCTTGTCCAGCAGTCATTCGAGGCCTAAGCCGTCTCATGCACCAAGCATGGTCTAGCGAGAGAGCGACGGTGTAAACAGATCAAGTAGAGGCGGTGCTACCCTGGTTCTCGCCTCTCGTAAGCTCGCGGCTCAGAGATTCAATAAAGTCCCTGGCATACCGGAAGCAGTCTTCCTGCCCAGCAGTGTCGACAAGGCGGTCAGATTCAGCTCCACTAGTGCGCAGTAATTGACCACATGCTCCAGGCCTGTGGCATGTTGTTGTGCCCGTAGCCTTCCAGCCACAGCCTCAGATGTCACAGACGGAAGTCAGAAAGTCGGAGTCCTCCTTCGGGGCCGATGCGGCGCGTGAGGCTGCTGCAGCTTGCGATGAAGGGCCTGACAGCCCCTTTTCGTGAAGCATCCCACATCCCACTCTGCGAACGAAACATCACCCAGAGGACTGCAATACGTCCGAAACAAAAACAAAGGCAAATCGACGGGCATCTGCTCACTGTGTACCAACTTGACCGACGGACATATGGACATAAACGACCCCCACACTGCTGTGGATGCTGTGTTGCTGGGAATGGACTTCGATCTCGCACATGGTCGCATCACACAGGCTCCGTGCGCGGTTCTTGCGTCCAAAACTAAGTCGGTCCTACAGAAATGAAAATCATTCTCGGGCGGAAGGCATCGCAACCAGCCCTACACGAATCT